ATAATAGGCATTCTCTAACAGAAAGTCCATCCCACTGTTTTGAAGTATATCACCCTATATTGGCACCCCCACTGGTTTGTAATATATCACACATCCCAATATACAATACACAGATCCCAATATACAGCTTGTTAACTTCCAATAATGTGCCAGCCCCATCTGTATGTATATAGTTAGGATCCATATCCAACTGTTTTATGAGGGGCTGGGATAGATGATTTGTTTATTATTGAAGTAAAAAAAATGATCTTAAAGAATCTATGTTTTAACAATTGACTAATTTTAACCACAATGTCACTTCAACATTCTATATATCCTTTTTAGCTCGACTTTTCTATGAAAAGGGGAGCTATCCTACTCGCCCCGGCGTCGGCGTCGGCGTTGGCGTCACACCTTGGTTAAGTTTTTCGTACCACCCCACTTTATTTCAGAAGTATTACAAGTATGGCTTTGAAACTTACCATACTTGTTCACCATCATAACCTCCATCTACAGACAAGAGTACATAACTCTGTCAAGGTTTTTGACAGAATTATGGCCCTTTTTTGACTTAGAAAGTGTATTGAGCTTGGTTAAGTTTTTTGTTCCACCTCACTTTATTTCAAAACCATTGGAGGTATTGCTTTGAAACTGACCATACTTGTTTACCATCACGACCTTCATCAACAGACAAGAGGACATAACTCTGTCAAGGTTTTTGACAGAATTATGCCCCTTTTTGACTTAGAAAATACATTGAATATGGGTAAAATCCACTTATTGCCTTAACCCTTTGAGATATTGCTTTGAAACTTTTAATGCTATTTCACATCATTACCCCCATCTGTACGCAAGAGAAGGTAACTCTGTCAAGGATTTGTTTTAAAATTTAAGGCCTTTTATCGACTTAGAATCTTGGTTAAGTTTTTAGTACCAGTCCACTTTTTGACTGAACTGTTTGAGATATTAATTTTTTAGTTTTTAGTACCAGCCCTCTTTTGACTTAAACATTTCAAACTTTGCTGCAGTGTTCAAGGGTATCACACAATTCAGTAAAATAATTCTTCACTAAATATCTTAATGCTCATGGCCATTGTTCACTTTAAAGATACAGAGATTCTTGTATTTCCTTTTACTGCAAAAACTTTTTTTATTGGCAAGCAATAAAAAAGTCGAGCGCGCTGTCTTACGGACAGCTCTTGTTTAATAGTTTTCTGTGAATATATATCCTGATAAGATTATTCTGTTAAAATATTTCTATGTACAGTTGCAAAGCAAACTACTTCCATATCACACAACATAAGAACAAGATAAGTTTAGTGTTATTGTAAAAAGAATCATTTGCTCATTTCTGTTACATCTGTCCACTTCATTTATATTTGTCCGAAATTCATTTTAGCTTTAGTATTATGTTGATAAATTGTTGGTCCACTGAAGGTTAGAGTAACATATAATCTATTTCATGTAAATAATTTTCGTAGAAAAAAATAATATCAGTCGCTTTGGAGATTTAGCATAAAACTCCCTTTGTGAGATTTAGTAAGCACCATATGAGCCGCGTCATGACAAAACCAACATAATGGCTTTGCGACCAGCATGGATCCAGACCAGCCTGCGCATCAGCGCAGTCTGATCAGGATCCATGCTGTTCGCTTACAAACCCTAGGCCTATTACAAGTAGAGAAATTGATAGCGAACAGCATGGATCCTGATCAGACTGCGAGGATGCGCAGGCTGGTCTGAATCCATGCTGGTCACAAATGCACTATGTTGGTTTTGTTGTGACGCGGCTCATATATATTTAATACTGATGATAGGGACGGATGTTACAGACAACTCAATTCACAACTCAATTTACAATTCACCAAAATTATATTTTTTCTTAAAGTGATAAATTTTTTGTCATTAAACATACTACCATATATTACAAGAATTTCTTTGGAGGTCCTTTAACATCCTTTGTGCCTTCCTAGCGGTCCATAGCGGTCCGGCAACTCCTCAAAAGCATAAATTCTATCACTAAAATTATATTTTTAGCTCGACTTTTCTATGAAAAGGGGAGCTATCCTACTCGCCCCGGCGTCGGCGTCGGCGTTAGCGTTGGCGTCACACCTTGGTTAAGTTTTTCGTACCACCCCACTTTATTTCAGAAGTATTACAAGTATGGCTTTGAAACTTACCATACTTGTTCACCATCATAACCTCCATCTACAGACAAGAGTACATAACTCTGTCAAGGTTTTTGACAGAATTATGGCCCTTTTTTGACTTAGAAAGTGTATTGAGCTTGGTTAAGTTTTTTGTACCACCTCACTTTATTTCAAAACCATTGGAGGTATTGCTTTGAAACTGACCATACTTGTTTACCATCACGACCTTCATCAACAGACAAGAGGACATAACTCTGTCAAGGTTTTTGACAGAATTATGCCCCTTTTTGACTTAGAAAATACATTGAATATGGGTAAAATCCACTTATTGCCTTAACCCTTTGAGATATTGCTTTGAAACTTTTAATGCTATTTCACATCATTACCCCCATCTGTACGCAAGAGAAGGTAACTCTGTCAAGGATTTGTTTTAAAAATTAAGGCCTTTTATCGACTTAGAATCTTGGTTAAGTTTTTAGTACCAGTCCACTTTTTGACTGAACTGTTTGAGATATTAATTTGAAAGTTGGAATACTTGTTTACAATCATGATTCCCAAACATGTCCAGGAGAAGGTAATTCTGCTCAAAGATTTTATTTGAATTATGGCCCTTAACTGTCAATGTTTTGTATTATAGGCAAGCACTAAAAAAACTTAAAAAATCTAAAAAAATTCATTCCTATCCAACTTGTTCACTTTACCATAAATTATGTCATATAAACATTGCTGTAATATTCAAGGGTATCAAACAACTAGTTCACTTTAAAAATACAGAGATTCTTGTATTGCCTTTTACTGCAAAAACTTTTTTTATTGGCAAGCAATAAAAAAGTCGAGCGCGCTGTCTTACGGACAGCTCTTGTTTCTTAAAATAATACATTTTTTGTCATTAAACATACTACCATATATTACAAGATTGCCCTAGGAGGCATTTTAAGGTCCTTTGTGCCTCCCTAACAGTCCTTAGCGGTCCTGCAACTCATCAAAAACATAAATTGATCTTATAAGGTCTTAGGCTGTCACATGATCGTCTTTCGAAAGTCTCTAATAATCTTTAACTGGTCACCACCGATGTCCTTGTCACTCGGTTGCAGGTAGTCTTTCCAAAGTCCTAAGAGCATTGTGCGATTAATGGCGACCTGTCTTACGATCACCCACGATTACAAATGACAACTAGCAACTTCGTTACAATTAGTAGCAACCGTTGTACGATCGTCAGAAACTAGTTTAAGATTTCCAATGACCAGGCACAGTCCACGTGATCTAACATTATATAAAGCAGGCACTTTACGGTTCATTCCTCATATGCACTTTTTCTTCTGTTACACAGGTATTACCTTTATGCCACCAAAATAGTCAAAGTGTAAAGGAAAAGTCAAGAAAAGGACCAAACACTTCTCTGACTCTGAGGTTGATACTGAAGAGCAAGTTGTAGGCCAACATAAAAATGCATTACCTCAAGACGTCCCTGCCCAAAATGAGGCTCAGCCTATTCGGCAGGTCCAAGAGCTGGTAGTTCCATCGGGTAGAACATGTCTGTGCCACATCACACCATGCATCTCCTGTTGTAGGAAGTGTCACAGCCATATATCACCATATTCAGCAAGACAAGCCTCGCAGACATCTTTAACGAACATCGATATGGTGTTGTGGGGTACCCTGAATGAATAGTTTAGGCTGTGGTAGCTGTACCCCGAGGCAAGGTGTCAAAGCATGATGGCCAGACCTGGCTTCAGGGGTTTGCTTAACCGAGTTGTTTGTTTGGTAAGCCTAAAAGTTAACCGTTGAACAAGCTCATGGAGTATTGCTGGTTCCATCCTGAGGAAGTTGATGCAGTCGCCTTGGTCTTCCCTCTCTAGCTTTACCATCAAATTTTCATAAATTTCAAAAAGCAACCTGCGAGCAATCCATGGGCTGACCCAATACTGTCTCTGTTTTCTTTGTTGCCTTCTGCTTCTACGCTGTAGAAGTATCACCAACGCAGCAGCATCTTGTTGTTGCAACTGCATTTGCAGTTGTATCATCTGCAAACTTCATGGTTATCGGTCATAGCCATTCTGGGTTGTTTACTCTCTCGCTACTGTGATAAATGTAAATGCTTTACTGTAAAGTCATTATTTATACCTCAAATTCATCAGTCTTTTTCATGTTTTTGTCAATTGCAAAAATGTTGTGCAACAATCTTACGACAGTCTTTACAAATTGCTACTAGTCACTGATAGTCTTGAGTAGTCTTTAGAAATTTTGCGATGGTCGTATGACAAGTTGTAGGTGATCGCATGACTGGTCACGGTTGGTGGTAAGTAATCCCAGACAATCTTGAGACCATCGTATGTTTGATGATAACCTGTCGGGTGATTGTCAATGACTGGTCGTACAATAATAGCGGAAGTAAATTTATCTGTGCACAGAGGGTTTGGTCGCAGACAATCGCAGACGATCGTCAGTTTTACATGTCGCTGATACTCGCAAGCAATAATAAGCTCTAGTGTTACTGGGGTTTTAGCTAACTTGAACTTTAAACTCAAGTTTTCAAATATCACTGACAAAAATAGCAGAAATAAATAAACTTCTTGTTAGTTTATATTAGGGCTGTAATTGAATATTGCAATATCAATATATCATCAATATTTTTCTTCCCATACAATATTGATACACACTTTCAAATATCATTACAAGCTAAAATTTATTTATTTCTGTTAGTGAATATACCTGCCTTATGATTGAGAAGTAATTTTTTCCAGTTTTCTTGGCTAACTTGAACTTTAAACTCTGTGGGATAGTAGTTTCAAATTTGCTACTAGTATGTAGTTTCTGTAAAAAGAGTATCTTTCACTCTTACAAGGCAATTTATAGTTTCCTTTGTAAATCATTTTTATACATGTAAAAGTAAGTTTCCTTTTTTTTGTGTTATAGAGATGCAATAAAAATGGGATAGAAAGAAATTTGACACAATGGATCTTAAGAATTGGGTACAGGTGTTTGTCTTTCTTCAAGTTATGATAGGTATGTACAACCTAAAAGTTGAAATTATCTGTTGTTTTGAAAAAATAATCAAGCAGCACCCAAGTGATTTGCCTTTTATTATTACCTTTACTACATTGAAAGTAAAGTTGGGGCTATCATACTCATGCATCAATGTCAGTGTTGATGATAGTGTAGGCATCAGTGTTTCACTTTGTTTTCATAGTAAAAATCACACAAAGTTAATCACAACTGTATCATAATATTGACTCCACTAGCTGACCAAGGTTTTTTTAATTGATGGGGATGGAAATATTTTGTTCAACACTTGTGCACTATTTAATAATTATGATTTGATATGACCTGCCTCCCTCACCTCTGCTTAATTATCTTGCAAAATGAAAAATATTTGCTTGAATATAAGAAAAAATAAAATATTTGTGTGGTTCAGTGGTTATACTGTAATAACAGGATAGAAATAGGTAACATCTCAGTAATTCTTATTCCTGTATTTTACAGCTGAATAAAGGCTGTTTCCCTTAGCCCAAAAAGGTACATTTTCCCCTAAAAAAACTAGTATTTTCCCCTGAAATGCCCTGTGTACTTCTTCACCAGAACCATTACTTTACAGCATCTGACTTTTCTATCCCTATACATGGCCTCTGCTATGTACCATAATTGAAATTGAAAATTTAATAAGATATGTGGCTAAATTTTAATCTCGGTTGTTGGAATTTTTATTTCAGATTTTCCCCCTTTTATGATTTATTGCATCAAGGCATTGTTGATATGATATTATGTGATGTTACTGTGTTAATATATCAATTTATATAAATATAGTAAAGACAAGTTGTTTATTATCAAAATAATGAACCTTGTACTTTTGTTATTTGTTAAACAATTTGGATTTGGAGGCATTATAACTGATCAATTAACATTATTTTTAGCTCACCTGAGCATATGCTCAGGGTGAGCTATTAGGATCACTCTTCGTCCGTCGTCCGGTGTCCGTCGTCCGTCGTACGTCGTCCGTTGTCCGTTCACACTTTTCACACGACATCTCCTCTGAAACCATAAGGCAGATCATAATGAAACTTCACAGGGATGTTCCTTGTGTGAAGCCTTAACAAAGTTGTTCAAAGAATTCCATTCCATGCAGAACTCTGGTTGCCATGGCAACCAAAAGAAAAAACTTTAAACATTTTTTTCTAAAAAACCCAAAGAGCTAGAGCTTAGATATTTGGCATGAAACATCTTCTAGTGAGTGTCTTCTGGGGTCAAAATTGGCCCCGCCCCAGGGGGTCATTGATTTTCCCTATATGCATATAGTAAAAACTTAAAAAAACTTCTTTTAAAGAACCCAAAGAGCTAGAGCTAAGATATTAAGCATGAAACATCTTCTAATGAGTGTCTACCAAGATTGTTCAAATAAAAGCCCTGGGGTCAAAATTGGCCCCGCCCCAGGGGTCATTGATTTTCCTTATATGCATATAGTAAAAACTTAAAAAAATCATCTTCTAAAAAACCCAAAGAGCTAGAGCTTAGATATTTGGCATTAAACATGTTCTAATGGATGTCTACCAAGTTTGTTCAAATAAAAGCCCTGGGGTCAAAATTGGCCCCGCCCCAGGGGGTCATTGATTTTCCCTATATGCATATAGTAAAAACTTAAAAAAATCTCTTTTAAAGAACCAAAAGAGCTAGACCTAAGATATTAAGCATGAAACATCTTCTAATAAGTGTCTACCAAGATTGTTCAAATAAAAAGCCCTAGGGTCAAAATTAGCCCCGCCCCAGGGGGTCATTGATTTTCCCTATATGCATATAGTAAAAACTTAAAAATATCTTCTTTTAAAGAACCCAAAGAGCTAGACCTAAGATATTAAGCATGAAACATCTTCTAATGAGTGTCTACCAAGATTGTTCAAATAAAAGCCCTGGGGTCAAAATTAGCCCCGCCCCAGGGGGTCATTGATTTTCCTTATATGCATATAGTAAAAACTTTAAAAAATCATCTTCTAAAAAACCCAAAGAGCTAGAGCTTAGATATTTGGCATTAAACATGTTCTAATGGATGTCTACCAAGTTTGTTCAAATAAAAGGCCTGGGGTCCAAATTGGCCCCGCCCCAGGGGGTCATTGATTTTCCCTATATGCATATAGTAAAAGTTAAAAAAATCTTCTTTTAAAGAACCAAAAGAGCTAGACCTAAGATATTAAGCATGAAACATCTTCTAATAAGTGTCTACCAAGATTGTTCAAATAAAAGCCCTGGGGTCAAAATTGGGCCCCGCCCCAGGGGGTCATTGATTTTTCCTATATGCATATAGTAAAAAACTTTAAAAAAATCTTCTTTTAAAGAACCCAAAGAGCTAGACCTAAGATATTAAGCATAAAACATCTTCTAATAAGTGTCTACCAAGATTTGTTTCAAATAAAAGCCCTGGGTCAAAATTGGCCCCGCCCCAGGGGTCATTGATTTTCCCTATATGCATATAGTTAAAACTTAAAAAAATCTTCTTCTAAAAAAACCCAAAGAGCGAGAGCTTAGATATTTGGCGTAAAACATTTTCTTATGGATGTCTACCAAGTTTGTTCAAATAAAAGCCCTGGGGTCAAAATTGGCCCTGTCCCAGGGTTTATTGATTTTCCCTATATGCATATAGTAAAAACTTTTAAAAAAATCTTCTCTTAAAGAACCCAAAGAGCTAGAGCTAAGATATTAAGCATGAAACATCTTCTTATCAGTGTCTACCAAGTTTGTTCAATAAAAGCCCTGGGGTCAAAATTGGCCCCGCCCCAGGGGGTCATTTGATTTTCCCTATATGCATATAGTAAAAAACTTTAAAAAAATTCTTTTTTAAAGAACCCAAAGAGCTAGACCTAAGATATTTAGCATGAAACATGTTCTAATGGGTGTCTACCAAATTTTGTTCAAATAAAAGCCCTGGGGTCAAAATTGGCCCTGTCCCAGGGGTTATTGATTTTCCCTATATACATAGAGTAAAAAGTTAAAAATCTTCTTTTAAAGAACCAAAAGAGCTAGAGCTAAAATATTTAGCATGAAACATGTTCTAATGGATGTTTACCAAGTTTGTTCAAATAAAAGCCCTTGGGTCAAAAATGGCCCTGCCAGGGAGAGGGGGGGGGGGGGGGGGGCAAAAGTCATTGTTATTCATTATTTGTGTATAGTAAAAACTTAACATCATGAAATATCTTCTAATGGGTGTCTTCCAAGTTTGTTGAAATAAATGCCCTTTGGTTTAAACTGGCCCGGCCCTGGGGGCCTATGTTCAGGTGAGCGACCCCAGGGCCATCATGGCCCTCTTGTTTTGTATACTTTTTCTTCGACTTTGTAGGAATTGTTGGTCAGAATGAGATATGTACATTCTATGGTCTAGAGGCAAACTGCAGGTATCGTATTGATGCTATCTCCCTGTCACACATCAGGGTGGAGATCAATCAATGTGCCGACCCTGTTGAAGTCACTTTCTACATCAAAGTTAGTATCAGCTACATTATGGTGCATATCCATAATGGTACCCTCTTTGGGAAATCTACTTAAACAGTACACTCTGTGCAAATGCACAGGTTGGTCATTCTTTGCTGAAAACAAGTAGGTGACATACAACAATTTAGTAAATGTTCATTCTACTGATAAAAGGCGGTATGTCAGGTGAAGGAGATTTATTTCATGCTTTCAAGTGTTTTACTGTAATATATCAGATGATTATATTCTGATAAACCACTAGTGAAATTTATAAAATATAATTTTCACTGTAGCCGGACTATATCTGAATGCGGATGAACAGAAAATTATAAAAAATGGAATAACAGGCAGAAATAAATGCCGTCATACATAAATTTTGCTTCTTTAGGAAAAGAAAGTCAATGTCATCATAGATCATGTTAGAAATTTAACAAAATTAGAGAAATTCAACGGAACTAGATTTCAAAACTGATGATGTGACGTTATGATATTATGACGTCACAAAGGAGAATGCGCGACGTTACGCGGCAAAATCAGTGAAAAATTACTTAAAATCACTGAAAAAACATAAAATAAAAAGAAAATATATTTGGTTTACATATAAGATTGAAATATATTTCATTCGTGAACACCAGCAATTATATTTTCACTCGTGGCTACGCCACTCGTGACAATATTGCATCTGGTGTTCACTCAGTGAAATTATATTTCAATCTTACATGCAAAACAAACAAATATCCTCTATATATACGATAGAACACTAGAATGTTTTTACTTTGTCTTACCTGGTACTGATATGAATATGCACCATGTACATGTATTAAAGTGGCATTATGCTCATTATTTAATCATTGTCAAGTTGACCTTAATTGACAATATATTTCCAAAGATAGACTAATCTCTATTATAAATGGTGATTGACCAATAATTGAAAATGGCAAATGATTAATAGGATTAAATATAAAAACGGCCTTAAATATGAAAAATCTGCCCCACTCTTTATCAAGTAAATGTTACTGATGAATTGCAAAGAATATTTTTTAATTTTCTGTTTGTAATGTGAATTTTGTTTCTTATCTTTGAAGCAGAATATAAAATAGAAAACATTTATGGCAAAATGTTAGTTATTCTGACTTTTACCTGTACACTTGAAATTTAGACTTCACTCGGATTGGCATAATGTCACTTTAAATAAATAGTAAACATCACTTAGTGAAAGAATAGATATTTTTTTAACTGGTGGAACTTTGATATCATTTGATTAGCAACTTTATGGGCCAATTAGCCTGGCAAGGGGAGCTTTGCATTCACATGTTGGTCACAAAAATGCCATGTGAAATACTTCGCTTTGCATACATTTTCTGTAACAATTTAGATGAATACAAGGCAATTAAGAACATAACTCTAACCAGGCCTAAAACAAAATATTGTTTGTTTCCCCTCCTGCTACCTACCCACAAAACTCAGAGCTACCCAAAAAGTTTTACTGCCAAACAAAAAGATTTTTTTTTTACTAGATATTAAAGCAGAGTCTATTAATAAGAATCACATCTTCATATCTGTCTCATGTTTCAGCACTGTGAATACAAAAACTGGGATATATGTTAAATAAAACTTTGAAACTTAAGATATAAACTTCAAACACATGCTTATTATTCACAATTTATTTTGAAATCCATTTGATATTAGATAAAAAAAAACATTATGGTGTAAAGAAAAACATGACCTACCTACCCAAGTTAACCCAACCCAAACTGCCTTGGGTCGCAAAAGGGAAAATATAAAGATAATTTCAAGTTAGGCCCCAAGCGTTATAATAAGAAGCTTGCAGTGACTTGGTGCTAAAGCCAAGAATGTTGCTAAATTAGTTACTAGCAAATATAATACTTGCTCTGATATAGATTTGGAATTATTCATTGGTGATTTCAATATCAAAATATATTCAAAGATTTTTTCAATACATCTTTGAATTGTACTGTGAATTTAGGATACAAAAGGTTTATAATGATTAGACTTGATGATGGTGTTTAGTTTTAGATTGCAACCGCCTCTGTGGTCAAGGGGTTAGAGTCAATGACTTCTAATCAAGTTACCTCTCTGGCGTGGGTTTATTCCCCGGGAGATGCTTTGGTAGTTAAGCACGGAGGAAGGTAGTCTAGTACTGGTGTAACTCTCCAGGAAAGATGGTTAGGAAACTACCCACCTATATGACTGAAATTCTGTTTGGAAAAGGCGTAAAATGAAACAAACAAACAAACAAGTTTTAGATTGTTCTGTGTTTATGTTCAATAGTTTTCTATAATCTATTTTCAGAATGAGAGACCTTATGTAGATTTCAGTCACACATTTAACAGAGCTGATACTCTGGTGTCCGTGCCAAGATTCATGGTACGTACACAGCTCCGAGTTAGACTGACAAAGAAGAAAGATGATGTCATTAATATTGAGGTATGTTTCACTTATTACTGCAAAATCATTATTATCCATGGTGCACTAATTTTTGTGGTATTCGTGAATAAGTCAATCCACGAATTTAAGAGCCAATGAAATTTCATTTTAGACTGCTGTAAGATTATTTTGCATTACATTATTTTTTGGGAAAATAAACAATCCTCGAATTAAAGTACCCATGAAAATGTTCTTGATGACATAAACATGAAATTTCACTCATAGTAATTAAGCTTATCAAAACTCAGAAAGTAACTTAGTTTTGGCAGAGACATAGATAACATGTTATCTATGTCTCTGGTTTTGGATAACTTATGATTGTTCTACATTATTCAGAGATGTTCAGTACCCCTATTGATTTTGAGGTCACCAGGTCAAAGGTCAAGGTCACAGGGGCCTTGACTTCAAAAAGCTTGTCCGCCCAATAACTTAAGATTCCTTTGACCCACAGTCTTCATATTTGGCATGGAGGTAAGTCGTGATTAGTAGATGACCCTTTTTGATTTTGAGGTCACCAGGTCAAAGGTCAAGGTCACAGGGGCCTTGACTTTAAAAAGCTTGTCCGCCCAATAACTTAAGATTCCTTTGACCCATAGTCTTCATATTTGGCATTGAGGTTAGTCATGATTAGTAGATGACCCCTATTGACTTTGAGGTCACCAGGTCAAAGGTCAAGGTCACAGGGGCCTTGACTTCAAAAAGCTTGTCCGACCAATAACTTAAGATTCCTTTGACCCACAGTCTTCATATTTGGCATGGAAGCTAGTCATGATAAGTAGATGACCCCTATTGACTTTGAGGTCACCAGGTCAAAGGTCAAGGTCACAGGGGCCTTGACTTCAAAAAGCTTGTCCGCCCAATAACTTAAGATTCCTTTGACCCACAGTCTTCATATTTGGCATGGAGCTTAGTCATGATTAGTAGATAACCCCTATTGTCTTTGAGGTCACCAGGTCAAAGGTCAAGGTCACAGGGCCTTGACTTCAAAAAGCTTGTCCGCCCTATAACTTAGGTTTCCTTTGACCCACAGTCTTCATATTTGGCATCGAGGTTAGTCATGATTAGTAGATGACCCCTATTGATTTTGAGGTCACCAGGTCAAAGGTCAAGGTCACAGGGGCCTTGACTTCAAAAAGCTTGTCCGCCAAATAACTTAAGATTCCTATGACCCACAGTCTTCATATTTGGAATGGAGGTTAGTCATGATTAGTAGATGACCCCTTTTGATTTTGAGGTCACTGGATCAAAGGTCAAGGTCATAGGGACTTTGACTTCAAAAAGTTTGTCCACCCATTAACTTAAGATTCCTTTAACCCACAGTCTTCATATTTGGCATGGATGTTGATCATGACTATAAGGTGACCCCTATTGATTTTGAGGTCACTGGGTCAAAAGTCAAGGTCACAGGGACCTTGACAAAAAAAAGCTTCTATTCTCAATTGCTAGAGAATGTCCTGTCCGCAATGTATTGATTTTGACATTTTCACATTTGAAGCATGTAGAATACATAACTTAGCAATGCACTGGCTTAGTAACCTCAGATTTGGCAGGGAGGTTGTCCTTGAGCTCTAAATGGCCACTGTTGATTCTGACAAAGTGGTATGCGGGGGTATTCACGCCATCATAGTGGCAGTTCTAGTTTCATGTAGTTCATTTTAGTTTGCACTGATTCTGGCCCAAATATAAAAAGTTTTATTGCACATATTTCAGGCAGATTTCTTTGTATATGGACAGGAAAGGGCAGACTTTATTAATGATGATGTTAAACTTAGAGGACTAGAGGATCATTGTCCCTTGTGTAAGCTATTTTAGTTGTTGTTTTTTAGCTCACCTGTCACAAAATGACAGGATGAGCTTTTGTGATCGCTTTTCGTCCGGCGTCCGGCGTCCGTAAACTTTTACTTTAAATGACATCTCCTCATAAACCACAAGGCCAATTTCATCCAAACTTCACAGGAATGTTCCTTTGGTGGTCACCTTTAAAAATTAAAATAAAAAGCCTGGGGTCAAAATTGGCCCCGCCCCAGGGGGTCATTGATTTTCCCTATATGCATATAGTAGAAACTTAAAAAATCTTCTTTTAAAGAACTCAAAGAGCTATGGCTAAGATATAGAGCATCAAACATGTTCTAATAGGTGTCTACCAAGTTTGTTCAAAGAAAAGCCCTGGGGTCAAAATTGGCCCCGCCCCAGGGGGTCATCGATTTTCCCTATATGCATATAGTAAAAACTTAAAAAATCTTCTTTTAAAGAACCAAAAGAGTTAGAGCTAAGATATTTAGCATGAAACATGTTCTAATAAGTGTCTACCAAGTTTGTTCAAATAAATGCCCTGGGGTCAAAATTGACCCCGCCCAGGGGGGTCATTGATTTTCCCTATATATGCATATAGTAAAAACTTAAAAAATCTTCTTTTAAAGAACTCAAAGAGCTATGGTTAACATATTTAGCATCAAACATGTTCTTATAGGTGTCTACCAAGTTTGTTCAAATAAAAGCCCTGGGGTCAAAATTGGCCCCGCCCCGGGGGGTCATTGATTTTCCTTATATGTGTATAGCAAAAACTTAAAATCTTCTTTGAAAAAACCCAAATAGCTAGAGTTAAGATATTAAGCATGAAACATCTTTTAGTGAGTGTCTACCAAGTTTGTTCAAATAAAAGACCTGGGGTCAAAATTGGCCCCGCCCCGGGGTCATTGATTTTCCTTATATGTGTATAGCAAAAACTTAAAATCTTCTTTGAAAAAACCCAAATAGCTAGAGTTTAGATATGAAGCATGAAATATATTCTAGTAAGTGTCTACAATTTGTTAAATAAAAACCCTGGGGTCATAACTGGCCCGGCCCCAGGGGTGTCATTGTTTTTAACTATATGTGTATAGTAAAAACTTAAAAAAAATCTTCTTTTAAATAGCCCAATGAGCTAGAGCTTAGATGTTTAGCATGAAACATCTTCTTATGGGTGTTTACCAAGTTTGTGCAAATAAAAGCCCTTTGGTTAAATTGGCCCTGCAACGTTTGGGGGGGGTGGGGGTTGGGGGGGCCTATATACAGGTGAGCGACCTCAGGGCCATCATGGCCCTCTTGTTTATGTTTATTTTCAACCGCTAAAAGGCACTTTATGCCTCAGAAATCCAATATTATTAAATTCTTTAGAAATGTCAAACATGTGTTTAATAAGTCTTAGTAATGGATTTTTAGAGTATATTAGATGTTTTACAGTGGAAGAAAGTAGCACTGAATGTGCAGTTATTTGTCATAAAGGTAGCAAAATGTAAACAAGAATTAGATAGTATTTTGACTTCCATACGAAATACTAATTCATTACGTATTGAAGTCAAAATAATATCTAATTCTTGTTTACATTTTGCTACCTTTATGTCACATAACTGCACATTCAGTGCTACTTTCTTCCACTTTAAAACATCTAACATACTAATACATAAATAAATACTAATTCATTACATGTGAGGAAGCTATCCAGCTAGCTTACGAAACGTCGGTGGTTCTACTCAGGTGCCCGTTTGTGCCTGAAATAATGCATGGAGGAGCACCTGAGGTCTTCCTCCTTCAGTAAAGCTTGAAAGTCACCATATGACCTATACTGTTTAGGTAAATCAAACAAACTAATTCATTATAACTATACCAGCTGCCAACAAAGCAAAAGAAGCAAAGATAGTTCATTTATAGTTCATCTATATGGCAAATGAATATTGTTTGGAAACTGTATCAATACAAAAAATTTAAAGTTGCTCCAGCTCTTGAATATTTTTATGTATTCTTGAACATTCACATAGTTGTTCATCTTTTTAATAAGATTAAAAAAAGGTAACCTAATGAGGTAATTTTTTCTAGCTCACTTTATGTGGTACCGGTAATCTTTTTTGAGCTTTACTGATGGCTTGACCATTTGCATTGTTTTTGCTTTTATGTCACAAAAAATATTGACATGCTGATATGAAACATAAGAGGTTTGTAAATCTCATTCAGGAGAAGTGCAGTACACCAAGAATAATATCAATTGACTTTTATAACTGTTGAGTTATTGCACTTTTAATGATTACAGTGCAGAACTAAAGGACAATTCTTGATATATTTCTAATAATTTCAATAGGCACACCATTTTCAAAATGTGAAACAGACAAGGTATATGGAGCTGAAGTTTATGACAGAATTTGTGATTATAAATATAAAAAAAGAAATCAGTTTACATGTATTTTCATAATGTTATTCATTTTGAAAACCAAAATCTTGAAAATACTGTCATATTATTGGTTTTTGTTTTGCTATAATAAGTAAAATGTTTACAATTTAAGTGTGTAAGTTTATTTTTATGTTTGCTAAATAAAGTCCTCACAAGACTTCCCAACACACAAAAAAAATTAATAATTTATTACTTGACATCTTTTTATTTACATTTATTAATATGTATGCCTTACTATAAAATGTCAAAGTTAAAAGATTTTTTGATATTTTGTGTCATGTTAAAACTATTATTTATATATTATTATGTTTTCAGTGAATACAGCAGCAAAGATTGCTATAGGAGTGACGTGTGGACTGACAGTCTTAGTTGCCATTCTGATCTTCTCTTTGTTATATATTCGTTACAAAAGGAGAAAAAAGAGAGCAGCTTTTGCAGAGAACCAGCTTGTTAATAATGCTGCTGAGCTGGGAACCTCTACACCGGTTTCCTCATTGACAAATCTAAATGAGAGCCACATGGGAACCAGTCAAGTGGCTTCTATAAATAGTAACAATATAAATGGTGAACAAAATGCTAGTGATGCAAGTGCAGTGGTTTCTGATGAAAGGAGAAGTTTAGACGATGATAGAGGAAATAATGCACATAGAAATTCAGTTACATCAGACAGGGACAATAATAGACCTGACATTAGATTCTCAGATATATTAAAAAATGGAAATCTGAAAATTTCTGACTGTTAGATGATTATTTTAAGGCCTTTATGAAGTCTTTAGCTGTCAGTAACCTGGGACAAAATTTAATGGGAAGGCAAGTTAAGTATTTTGAAAATTGTATAGGTAAAAAGGTGAATGGTAGAACATAATTGAGGGGTAGGGGTGAGGGTTATTGTTGTTGGTTTTTTTTGGTGTTTTTTTTTTTTCTTGCCTCGAAGTAAAGTTTAAATTTAGCCTTGACTTGAATAATAAAGATAAATGTTAATGATTGACTTTTTTTATTACTAATCTAAATGTAAATGTTATTAAATCAATGCAAACCATATTGTTTTTACATTCCATGTTTATGTACATATATATTTACATATCATGTACTTTGTGTGTTCAGTATTTTGTAAATGTTGTTTTTCTAGAGTTTTATGTACATTACTTTGTTGAACAATTCATGAATCTGTATATTTCATTATTCATTGTTGATTGAATAAAGAGAGAAAAATATTACAGACTAATTTACCTCTGGTCTTGAACATTACACATTTTATGTATAGATCTGCATTTGAATAAAAGTTTTATTTGTATATACTTTTTCTAAAAATTAATATGTTATATTAAAACTTTCATTTTAGCATCTTATTAGTTCTTATTTGTTTTAACATTTTTCATTTGTTTGTATAATGATTTTATAATTAATAGACGTAATTTAATTATTGACAGTATAATGTAGTTTTAAATTTTTTAATAACAATTTTTGTAGGCATATATGTAAAATTATATCCAAGGTTTTATTGGCTATGATTTAGAACATTTTTAACCAGGTTTTCCGAAGGAAAAAAACTGGTTATTAGATTGAGGTATGTCGGCGGGCGGGCGGGCGGGCGGCAGGCGGGCGGGCGTAAACAATTTCTTCTGTGCGCAACTCCTCCTACATTTCTCAACAGATTTTGACCAAACTTTCACAGAAGCTTTGTCATCAAGTGCCCTGGCGCATATTGTCGGGGTTTTGCAATTAGATAATATTTGACCTAATTATGGCCCTTTGTTTTTTTTCCTTATATAAAATATATAGTGAACAATTTCTTCTGTGCGCAACTCCTCCTACATTTCTCAACGGATTTTGACCAAACTTTCTCAGAAGCTTTGTCATCAAGTGCCCTGTCACATATTGACAGGGTTTTGCAATTGGTGTATATTTGACCTAATTATGGCCCTTTGTTTTTTTTCCTTATATAGAATATATAGTGAACAATCTCTTCTGTGCGCAACTCCTCCTACATTTCTCAACAGATTTTGACCAAACTTTCTTAGAAGCTTTGTTATCAAGTGCCTGGCACATATTGTCGGGGTTTTGTGATTGGATAATAATTGACCAAATTATGGCCCTTTGTATATTTTTTCCTTATACAGAATATATAGAGAACAACTTCTTCTGTGCTCAACTCCTCCTACATTTCTCAACGGATTTTGACCAAACTTTATTAGAAGCTTTGTTATCAAGTGCCTGGCACATATTGTCGGGGTTTTGTGATTGGATAATATTTGACTGAATTATGGCCCTTTGTATATTTTTTCCTTATACAGAATATATAGTGAACAATTTCTACAGTGCGCAACTTCTACATTTCTCAATGGATTTTGACCAAACTTTCACAGAAGCTTTGTCATCAAGTGCCCTGGCGCTCACTAAATTCCCATGTTTCTTCCAAGACATCATTCAAGTATTTTTTTAAAATTGTGAACATACTTTTCTTGATATCGCACGAAACACCACACGCCAATATTGTTGACAAAAGAAAATGACAAGAGACGCAAAAATGCAAAAATTAAGCAAAAATAAAGTACTGTTTACCTTTCTAAAATATTTGGGAAAAAAAGGCGAATAGACAACATAAAATTTCTCAATCATTTTTGTTTGAGGAATATTAAAAAAGCCATAATTCCTCCTAAAAGTTCAATTAAAAACAAATGCCCCTTCATGACAAAGCTTCTGTGAAATATTTTGCTGAAAACCTGGTTGCATCGCATTGCGATGTTCCTTGTTAAATTATTAGACTTTAAAGTAGGAAAATCTTTTTCAACTGTTGGTTGCCTCCCTCCTGCACACTGTATATGATAGGTACCTAGAGTCCCTTTATGATGGGCCCATGCAGGACGGTGCTTTCTGATGTACCTGTTTACTTGTTACCATTCATTCTATAAGCTTAGTGTATGTAGTAGTAATGATAAGTTATTATAAATTAGTTCAGATTTTGTTAGGCAGACTCAGTACTTATTTTAGGTATGTTCTTGTAAATCAGAATTAGTATTTAGATCTATAACCTTAAGTTCTTATGATTTAGATTAATCATTTGTAACCTTATTGTTTGAATTGTAAATTAGACTTGATAAAAAAAGCAGTAACTTGCTAATAACACTAAACCATTGTGGGTTCGAATCTGCCAGTATCTTTGGATTATCCAGCTATCTTATTGCAATGTTGGTGGTTCTACTCTGGTGCCTGCTTGTGTCTGAAATAATGCATGGTAGGACACCTGACGTCTTCCTCCACCTGTAAAGCTGGAAAGTTGCCATATGACCTCTACTGTGTTGGTGTGACATAAGACCAAACCAAATAAAATAATTCTTATAGATCATCCTTGTAACTGAGATACACAACTAATTTTGTAACTTAAAATTCTTTAAAATAGTTTTGTAACTTAAAATTCTCTAAAAACATCATATGTTCTTAGATTATTTACCAGAATTTCTTATAAATTATACGTCACACTCAAGATAAGTGTACCTGATTCCTGAAATTCTTAGGAATTTTATCTAATACACTGTATTTAGGTTATTTTACTATTATCACTATTGAACTCAGTTAGTTGACCTCAAGTAAAAGTACTTAACTATTTGTTCTTATATCCCATCCCAGTGACATACATATGATGTTTCTCTAGTTGTATAATGTTAAGTAGACATACCTTAGTAATAACAGTCAGGATTGTTTTAATGAAACTCATCTTAATTGGATTTCTATTTGTTTTTTGTTTTTTTTTGTTATAAAATACTTTATACATGAGCTCTTCCCTCATTCTTAATTTACACGTTTTACTGATATTTGAATTGGAATTAAGTTAAGGAATGGTTACATTTCAATAATTATGTTCTTGAGCTTTGTATTGTACAGTATATAAATTTATTGGCAAATTTTAAAGCACTTTATGTCCAAGAAATGCTTTAAATTTACACTGTATTTTTCTTTTCTAAATCTTTTAATTTTTGGTGTCCTGTTACAGTTTCAAAAAGTTACTCATAGGCCAAATACCTGAACCATCTTTTACTGCTCTTGCTATTAGGCTATAAGTACAGATTAAGTATGTGATTCAATATTTTGTATGGAAGTTAAAATACTACATTGTTTACATTTGGCTATGTTTTATGACAAAATAAAGCTTATCAATTAATGAGCATCTAACATGCTCTAGAACATTATAAAATTCATATTTGCCTTTTCTAACAGAAGTTTTTAA